GACGGGATGCAGAACTATAAAAAGTAACATTTTAAAAATATAATTAATCTTAAAACAGACTGCGTTGTGGGTAGGCCTGAGACTAATAATGCCAATTAAAATGCTATGATTTTTTGCTTTTTTTTTCACGTCTTTTTCTTTTTCGTAATGGTTAAACTATTTTTAATTAATGTTCTGATCTAATTTTATCGGTTTTATACATTTTTGGTTAGTATTTTTGTTGATATTTTTTCTGAAATTGATATTTTTTTTGTTGTCAGAAATCTAGCATTCTTTTTTGGAAATATGTATTTAAAAAAAGGTTTTCAAAAATTTGTTTCGTTATACATACGTATAATTTTATCCTCAAATGTGCACTGTATATGTATCTGGCGGGATTAACTCAATCCTAATTTGCTTGCATAACTGCTTGTATTTAATTCAAAAACAAAATACATCTGTCGGACAATTAGTTTACAATTGTATGGATTCTTTGGTTACCACAAATGTGTATTTGCAGAAATCGAATTAGTTGTTTTGATTTGTCCAGAAGTAAATGTTCGGTTTGTATTGTTATTCATGTATTACATTCATTTAATGATATATGAAAGAAGACTTTTTGACTATGGAATTAGTTAACATAAAATTACCGCGGAAGAAAGAAGAAAAATGTTAATGTATCCGGTGCGAAAACGCTAAAATGCGTTACAGTTCCAAGGTCCGGGATTTGAAATAGAATCGGGACGTGTTTGTATTTCAATGGGCTATTATTACTTCTTTAAGTTCAGTTCTTTGGTGAGAATGTTCACGTAACCTTTTTTGACCTTTAGCCATCTTAGAAAAGTTATTCTTTTTCGGACTGGTGCGATTTTTGTCTAAGAGTATTTTTGTTTTTGACTCTTGTGTAGATGAAACTATAAATACTCAGAGTACCTCATCATGTCAATGCCAATAACTATTTCTGTGTTAGTAACAACCTTGTTGCATTTTGTTGTAATCTTTGCTATTTTGTGGTTTGTTAATCGTAAAGTTACGTCAAAAATTATTTATTGATTTGTTTATAAAAAGTGAGCTATAGCTATGAGTTAACTTTTATTATTTATAATTACCTTAAAAGATAAGAGATAAGTACCATCTGACTTCCTAGATACTAAATCAGTCACTTCTTCTAATTTTTCGTCTCCTTCTTCTATATACACTAAACAAAATATAAGTAGTATAAAAATTGGTGTTCTTCCTGATTAACGTTTTTTTTTTTGAGTCATAAGATCGGCGTGTCCCGGCAGGTTCCTGTGTGAACCACAAAAAAGCTAGAACTACTTAATAAGTTTTACCATGTAATTTTCATGAAGTTGTCGAATGAATATTTTGATGCTTGTAATTATTATTTTCTTCAGGATTTCCAATTTAAATCGTTATTTTCAACATATAGGGTATAATTTAAAGAAATTGCTTTTGGAGGACAGTGACAGCTTTAAATTCCTATTTCTAAATNTGTAATACTGTAATTGTTTGTCGGTTTTACATATACGTAATTTACGATATTCGTATTACATTAAGGGTGTGTTCTCGAGAATATTTTACCTTTCTTTAATTGAAACAACTGTTTTCCATAGCAATAAATCTCCAGCTATCTAGCTTAAGTATGTAGTAACGTTATTCCTTTAATTTTTAATGTGGAAAATGTCTTTTTCGTGATGCTGTATAAAGTACATAACGGTATTACATGACGGTATGCAATGGAGTGCGCTTAACCTGCTTTAAACAAAAAAAAAACTATTGGAATCCACTAATTGCACAGTACAAATTCGCGTAGATACACTTTCGAGGAATCTTAATAAAAGGCTTATGAACAGATGTGTGATGCTGACCTCACTTGTGTGTGCATAAATAAATATAAAATATAGTGGATGTTGGGGCATAAGCTTATAATTTATTGCAAAATTGCAAATAATAATCAGTAAGGATTTGTACCTAACGGTAATTGTGAATTCCGATGGAAATAGAACTCTTAAATAAGAAATGCATAAAATTTAACGTTTATATTAGATGTATCAGTAAATAAATAACAAAAAGGGCACATTTTGGACGCTTCTAATATAGAAATACAAATAATTCTGAAGTGGCTGATTGTGGAGTATTATTAAATTTGATAAGCATGTCGAAATATTTTCATTTTGTGACAATGTAGATTGTAGATGCGTACATAAATATCACAGAAATGTATTTGTGAAAAAATATCTTTACCACAATTGTAGAGAATTCAATTTTGTACAAAAAAAATGTTTAGAAAAATTTTGTGAAACTTAGGGTTCTCAAGATATCGCGGGAAAACTGTTACACTTTCTTTGACGGCTAATTAGGGAGGGGTTTTCAACTTATTCACTCCCCTTCCTTATATATCAAAAAAATTTTAACGGAACCGTTATAATAATTGCGGCATTGAACTGATTATTGTCTTCTTAGTATATATCATTATTTTCGGTAAGACTTTACATTATGATTTATTACAATATTGGGCTGAATGTTAGTATTTTTGTTGATATTTTTTCTGAAATTGATATTTTTTTTGTTGTCAGAAATCTAGCATTCTTTTTTGGAAATATGTATTTAAAAAAAGGTTTTCAAAAATTTGTTTCGTTATACATACGTATAATTTTATCCTCAAATGTGCACTGTATATGTATCTGGCGGGATTAACTCAATCCTAATTTGCTTGCATAACTGCTTGTATTTAATTCAAAAACAAAATACATCTGTCGGACAATTAGTTTACAATTGTATGGATTCTTTGGTTACCACAAATGTGTATTTGCAGAAATCGAATTAGTTGTTTTGATTTGTCCAGAAGTAAATGTTCGGTTTGTATTGTTATTCATGTATTACATTCATTTAATGATATATGAAAGAAGACTTTTTGACTATGGAATTAGTTAACATAAAATTACCGCGGAAGAAAGAAGAAAAATGTTAATGTATCCGGTGCGAAAACGCTAAAATGCGTTACAGTTCCAAGGTCCGGGATTTGAAATAGAATCGGGACGTGTTTGTATTTCAATGGGCTATTATTACTTCTTTAAGTTCAGTTCTTTGGTGAGAATGTTCACGTAACCTTTTTTGACCTTTAGCCATCTTAGAAAAGTTATTCTTTTTCGGACTGGTGCGATTTTTGTCTAAGAGTATTTTTGTTTTTGACTCTTGTGTAGATGAAACTATAAATACTCAGAGTACCTCATCATGTCAATGCCAATAACTATTTCTGTGTTAGTAACAACCTTGTTGCATTTTGTTGTAATCTTTGCTATTTTGTGGTTTGTTAATCGTAAAGTTACGTCAAAAATTATTTATTGATTTGTTTATAAAAAGTGAGCTATAGCTATGAGTTAACTTTTATTATTTATAATTATCTTAAAAGATAAGCGATAAGTACCTAGGTGTAAAGTGCGGTTTTTTTTTTTTTTGAGTCATAAGATCGGCGTGTCCCGGCAGGTTCCTGTGTGAACCAGTAAAAGCTAGAACTACTTAATAAGTTTTATCATGTAATTTTCATGAAGTTGTCGAATGAATATTTTGATGCTTGTAATTATTATTTTCTTCAGGATTTCCAATTTAAATCGTTATTTTCAACATATAGGGTATAATTTAAAGAAATTGCTTTTGGAGGACAGTGACAGCTTTAAATTCCTATTTCTAAATTTCTAAATTTTTCTGAAATTGTTTCCAAAGTTATATGAGTAGATTATCTTACGGTATAACAATGTTTACCCTGTAATAGTTGATTGACACTTTTCGCTTAATTACTCCAAAATATTTTCTAGTTATTATCATAAACGCTATCAATAAATTACATTATATTATCGTTGTTATTGGACGACAGCGTTAGAATTTAGGCCGACGCGAGATAAAAGACTATATACTTATTGAAGAATTTGAGGTCATTGCCAAGGTTTGTAAACATAGATGACATTGAATTATTTAGTAAAATTGATTACAAAAGTTGCAGTGCAATTTGTTTAAAGGGTGCGTTTTTGTTTGTAGATAAGTACGTTGTTTACATGGGCTGCCTAGAATCAGGTCGCTTGTGCAAATGGTGCGCGGCTGTTAGCTGACATTTACTTTACGATGAGGCAGAAGTAGTAATTTCCTCCTGTCTTTGCGGTNTGATTTTATGAAAATTTGACGATTATAATTGGTGTAGGATTAGTATGATATTTAGAACTATTATTTTTACAATCGGTAATTTTGCAAGTTTTTAATTTTTTTTTAAATAGATTGTAGTTGTGCCTTTTTCTATTTGTGAATGTTCTAACATTTGTGTTTAAGAATACAGAAATAATGTATACACCTAAAGTAACTTGTTCGTTGAATAGATTGTTGTTCTGGTAATAACGAATTTTCACGAAAAAATGCTGGAAAATATGATGATTCTTGATCTACTTCAATTTTGAAAGCAAACTGGTCACTTTCCAAAATTAGTAAAGGCGAAAA